TGTGTGTCTCCAGTACCGATCAGTCTCTGCTCCCTGTGTGTCTCCAGTACCGATCAGTCTCTGCTCCCTGTGTGTCTCCAGTACCGATCAGTCTCTGCTCCGTGTGTCTCCAGTACCGATCAGTCTCTGCTCCCTATGTGTCTCCAGTACTGATCAGTCTCTGCTCCCTGTGTGTGTCTCCAGTACTGATCAGTCTCTGCTCCCTGTGTGTCTCCAGTACCGATCAGTCTCTGCTCCCTGTGTGTCTCCAGTACTGATCAGTCTCTGCTCCCTGTGTATCTCCAGTACCGATCAGTCTCTGCTCCCTGTGTGTCTCCAGTACCGATCAGTCTCTGCTCCCTGAGTGTCTCCAGTACTGATCAGTCTCTGCTCCCTGTGTGTCTCCAGTACTGATCAGTCTCTGCACCCTGTCTGTATCCTATCCCCAGACTTTACTTTCTGCTCGCAATGCACCTTCACCTGCACATGGTTGCTTAGACTGACACCGGCAGCCAGAACTCCGCCCTGCTCGTCCCCCCCCCGTTATCATTGTAGCTCTGTCCGTCCTGCTCGTCTCCCCCCTGGTTATCATTGTAGCTCTGTCCGTCCTGCTCGTCTCCCCCCTGGTTATCATTGTAGCTCTGTCCGCCCTGCTCGTCTCCTCTCCGGTTATCATTGTAGCTCTGTCCGTGTTCTATATATAATATACATTTTGCTACACATGTCACCAGCACTGATGTATATCTGCGGAACACGTGACTGCCCAGCCAGGCTCGTACAGCAGCTGCGACATCCAATGGTGAGCCGAGACGTCATCTGGAAGACTCTCGGTGAGACCTGGGATGGGAGGTGCGGTGACGTCACCAGGGGGCGGTGTCGAGCCCTTTGCTCTGTCTTAGTTGACAGCAGACAGGCAGAGTTCAGTGGTGATCAAAGACAGCACTTTACCCCACACACACACACTGTGCAGGATGGCAGCTGAGGCACAGAGAGTACTGGTATATGGAGGGAGAGGAGCCCTGGGCTCCAAGTGTGTGGACTACTTCAAATCCAAAAACTGGGTAACTATGAATTCACATAAGTTTTACTCAATGATTGCTGATGGTCTCATTACAAAGTATGCAGGGTAGTGACACTGACTTTAGGTGTGCAGTAGTTTGTAATATGACATAACCCTGTTCTGCTTAAATGTCTATTTCATGACGGCAATGATGGAATCATGTTTTTGTTTTATTTTTCAGTGGGTGGCATCCATCGATGTGACAGAAAATGCAACTGCCAATGCCAATGTTTTAGTGAAATTGTCAGATTCTTTCACCCAGCAGTCTGAAGAGGTGAGTCACTCTGTATCCATGTATTAGAGACTGATCGATCGCAGTAGTATAGTCGGATCAATTGCTGTATTAGAACCAAATCGCTGTAGTAGAGCCCTGATCAGTCGCTGTAGTAGAGCCCTGATCAGTCGCTGTATGGGAGCCTGATTAGTCGCTGTATGGGAGCCTGATGAGTCACTGTATAAGAGCTCAATCAATCGTTCTATTTGAGCTCCATCAATCGGACTCAGGGGAGAAGAGGCTGGAGGGAAATTCTCATTCCAGGTATTGAGTATCTACATATTGTCAGTACAAGTACCTGGGCTGTGGCATGAAACAGATTTAGTTGCTTCAGGTTCTCATGCAGAAATGATCTTCATTCAGTGAGACAGGGCAGAAAATGGAGCGAGCTAACCTGTAGCTGTCTGTCAGTAATCATCTCTCACTCAGCTGTCTACAGTAAATTGTCTACAGTAATATATATATATATATTGCTCTTTCAGCTTTCTTTCTGAATGAACCAGCGGGCACTGCACACATAGCCAGAAGTAATATTACGTCCTATATCTGATAAATGTCGAGGCCAGATATGCCAGATATGTTCATTGTTTAAATTGTTGGTGGGTTTAGCAGTTAGTGCAGTGGCCTT